GGCTAATATGCAAAAAAGTTCATTTTAAACTATTTTATTTCTTTAATTGATTTCTAAATCTTGTATTTATTAAACTTTAAACTCAGTATTACCTACTCAAATGCCTTTTTAAGAGAGAGAGAAAAAAAAAATTAATGGAGAATAAAAGTGAGCCTTAAACACAAATGGTTACTTCTGTATATTACCTCACATCCGTGCTTGATTTGCAAAAGAGAGAAAGAGAGAGAGAGCGAGAGAGAGAAAGAAAAGAGTGAAAACTAAAGATTTCTTCTCCTCTCAAATGTCATTGATTGGAACTTTGAAACATTCTGTTTACATGTGATGGTGTCATAGAAGGATGTTTAAGAATTGCCTGATACGGGAGGATACGACATCCCTGTTTCCAGCAGCCTGTGGTGGCATGGGGTTGGCCTGATGGGAAAGCTTTTTCGGTGGGGACTGGAGACATCCAGGAATTTGTATGTGTGTTCTCTGTTGTTATATGGTATTTGGATTTGGGGGTTGTTGGTTTTTTTGGGGGAAAGAAAAGGCTGTGTTGAAAATCACTCGTTCATCTGCTTTTATTACATTCATCTTCCAAATGCTGAAAAAACCTTTTCTTGGAAAAACGGACAGTGTGTCTTCTTAAGTTCTGTTCCAAAGCACACCTGGACTTGAGATTCCCCCGTAGGATTTAAGGTGACTTTGGCAAAGGTCTGAGGGGGGGAGGGAATCGACTTTATGGTTTTAACTATTGTTTCTGTCCAAAAAATGTCGAAGCAATAGATGAGTTGGCCCGGCTTGGCGCTCCCGTCATTTCCTCTTGTCAGTTTCTGTTGGAGGCAGCCTCAGTTGGTTCAACAAACCAAGAGATAAAGCAACAGGAGCCTCGGTTGAACCGGCCTCCTTCCGCCACCAACATCTCCCCAAAACTGCAATTTAACTCCTTGTGGTTTTTGAAGAGCAACCCGGATTTTTGAGCAGAAGGAAGAGAGCATTCGTGGAAATGTTAGCACCACAACTGTGGTAGACCTTTTTCCTGGCACTGAAGTGTCTCTTCTCCACTCCAGGCAGGTAAATGAGCCTGCGCCAGGTTTACAAGCCCACCTGAAGCCCTTTGGCCGTACATCTAATAAGCCCTGATTTCCGTAGCAGCCCAAAACTTTTTAAAGTGTTGATCAAATTCCACCCTTGAATCTTTCTGGGTTGGCAGTTGGCACTATAGCATGCTGGGCCTTTTACCGTTGAGCCTGCCCAGATCTCTCTCCATTCAAAATTTGCAGTGAAGTAGTAAAAGATTAGGCTTGCACTTTAATAATAGAAATCTCCCAAGTGTAACACAAACAAACCCTCTTTTGCAGTGCTCTTTACACATTGGCCAAGTATCCCACGTGCCAAGGGGAATGCAGAACTCTCTCGGTGACTGTACCTTATTTCCTCAGCGGCAGAAACGTCGCGTTAACTCCTAAATTTCTCTGTTGGTTGACCTTTTTTTTAAAACAAAAAGAAAATTCCAATTTTTTTCCCAGTTGGATTTGGGGATGGCAAAGAGTTTGGCATCTGATCTGGGCTGCTGCCCTTCAGCGCAGTTTGGGGGGGGGGGGCACTTAAAAGAGGCGGCCCTTCCTGGTCGTTAAGTGTATTGCAAGGTTCAAATCCAGGCAGCCTTTTCCACTGTTCGGCCTCCCGGCCTTGGATTCCAGAAGGATTCTGGAGCTGCACAAGTTGCCCCCTATTGTGGTTCAGCCGAGAAGGTGCTGGTACATTTGACTCCTGAAGCCTTTGGGCCAAGGTCCCAGTGGATTAATCAGAGGAAGAGGACCCCCCCCCCCCCCCCCCCGACGCTTCACATGCTCTTTCTCCACATTGCACAACGGGGAGCCAGACGGTGCTCCGGCGGGCGGGCGGGCGTGTGTGTGGGGTAGCCACCCAGGTGCCCGAACCCAGCCTTTTGTCGGGAGCAATTCCAGGGCTACGCGTATAGGGGGGGCATCTCCTTCCCGGATGTGGCACCCCAGCCGTCTTCTGCCTGAATGTCTCTCGTGATTTAATTCAGCGTATCAAATGTACTGTACCTCTTTCGTTTTTTTTGGGNAAAAAAAAAGAGTTGTAAGAAATGTGGCTCGAGATGAGAATTGTGTCCTTTGCCCAATAGCAATCCTTGTAGGAATTGCTATGTGTCACTAGGCCCCATTGCAATGGTTCAATAATGTAAGTTTTGTTGTGGAATTGCATTGCTATGTGGCTATTCATGTTCCAAATTGTTCATGAAATAAACCTCTGATCTTAAAGTAAGATTTATTGCTTGTGGTTTGTCTGTGTTCTTCTTTATTGGATTCTTTTTATGACATTACCCAATGTCATAGTAGTTGTGCTCTAGAATAAAAATGTGAGAGAAAGAAGGGTTTTTAAAAATGTAATGGGGGAAGGGAAGCTCTCCAATATCCTCCTTATATGTTTACAAGGAAAGCATCTTTAGCGTGACAAACGTTGTTCATACATTAATTTCAATAAATTCTCAGTAAAGGTTGTCAAGCAAATGAAATCTCACAGGCAACACTAATACTATAATTTGTCTTGAGTCATAGTTATTATTATTTATTTGTTTCAATAGATTGACATAGAGAAAGAATTAATTAAATGTTATGAACATTTCAGATTTTATCTCTTGAGGGACCTCAAAAGGAAACAGCCATGGATGCACTCTCTCTACCCCCATCAACACTGACTGGAACCATT